ACAGTGCTGCTATAAACATAGGGGTGCAGGTGCCCTTTGGAATTACTGTTTCTGTGTCATTTGGGTAAATACCTCATGACATGCACCACAAAGACATCTTTACAGACACATCACCCAAAGCAGTGATAGTGAAGGCAAAGATCAACAGCTGGGACTACATGAAATTAAAGAGCTTCTGCACAGCAAAAGAGACAATGACCAAAACAAAGAGAAACCCCATGACTGGTAGAAAATTTTTGCACACAACACTAATGATAAAGGACTGATCACAAAAAATCTATTTAAGTTTTTGAAACCAAGTTTGTCAAAAGAATTTGACAAGTTAAAATCAGGAGCTTTGAGAACAGCACTGATACAGAACTCACTGAGGCTTCAATTTGATTCTCACCTTTACAATATTTAAATTTCACCTTACGCTTAAAATTGGAAATAAGCCACGGTTTTAATCTAACACGACTTTCTAATAAAACCACACTGATTTCATTCGGATGAGAAATATCGATGACAGGCCCTCCATCGACTCCCATTTTGTCATCTCATTTATCTCAGGAAAACTCCAAAGTTCTCTGCTCTCACTGGCACCTGGCAGAAACAATCCAGTGGCTATCTGGGAGCTCCTCATTTATACGCCTCTCCTAGTAAAGTGTGAGTGTGTGCACAAGGTGCCCGAACAGAACAATGATAGGCCCCAACTTCTAAGTGATTCTAGTTTCTAAGAGGAGCCACACCCTTTTTGGGCAGCCCTGGTGCAGTGGCAGGGGGTGGTCTGTTAGGGGCACCAGGAAGCCCTAACCCAGGGGCTAATAACCCATTGCCACCCTTGGTTGATGGTGGCTCCGCTTCTAGGTATCCAGTTCAGCCACAATGATGTCACTAGTCTTTGCCACATGTCCTTTTTTGTCACTAAGCACTTCCTTCCTTTGTTTTGCATTGGTGTTTTTGTTCTTTTTAAAATAAATCTTGTGCTCGAGAATATGAGAAAAAATACCAGAATAATAATTTGAAAAATTGAGCACAAAGCCTTAATACATCACCCTCAAAGAAAAAAACTGCTTAAAAGCATGTCAAAAAAGTTAGCAGCATTATTAGTAACCAAACAAGTGAAAGTTTAAAAAATTATTTTCACCTGTCACGTGAGCATAGATTTTTTTCAAAGATGATATATTAGCAAGAACTAGTTGCTCTAAGCATCAAGACTAAGGAGGAAAATTGTTATATATACAGCTATGCAGACAAAACGGAGGCATAAAGATGTGCATCAGTTACGGCAGCAAAATATAGGAAATAACATGAAAATCCAAAAATATGAGAATGCCTAAATAAGTGAAGACTGTCATTTGCAGTAACTAAACTGCATTAAAGATACCAATTTTAATATCTTGGGAAACAAAAACCCTAACCAAGTAATATAATTTTTTAAAGTAAGTATGAAGTTCCACAATAGTTCCATATTCTTTAAAATATGGTCTGTTTAGGCATAAAAAGTGGTAAATGACCCTGTATGTTCAGTAGCAATGCCTTAGGCAATGGGATAATTACAAGTACTGGGCACATGTTCAGCATGTGCATATAATGCATCTACAATGCATTATATTTATGCTTGGAGCATCTTGGAAGGTGGGTCTTCCTCCCTGTTGTTTATCTGGGAAACTGAGGCTCAGAGCTGGTAAGTAATTTGACCATGGCAACAAAGTTGTTAAATGGAGGAGACTGGACAGAAGCTAAGGTCAGCTTGACCTGAAGCTTGTTTTCATCGTGTCCATGCCTGCTCACAGATAATTTTAATCTTCTTATATATTTTCCTGTGTTCTAGGGGATCTAAATAGGCATATCTTTATCATTTGCAAACAAATCAATAATATAAACGTTACACTAAAGCCATGCATATTCACCAAGCGACAATTTACTTCCTCCAAGGATGTAGGACGGTGAACATGATCTTTAGGATCTCACACTAGTGTGTCTGGTGATGAGAATGAGAGCTCTTAGAAAATGTGATCCCAAATCTTAGAAGACTTTGTGAGGCATGCCAATTCTGCAAAATGCATTCATTTAAAATATACTTATTTAACACCTGCCTTTTGGCAGATATTGTGCTAGGGGTTGGCACAAAGCAGGAATAATGATCTAAACGACTTTCTTTCGATATTGAGAAAGTCTTTGGGAGATAAGTAGAGATGAAGAGGTAGGGCAGGGCAGACTATTCATTACTCTAACACTGAGAGTCCTGGCTACCTACAGCTGAGGACTGTTGATTTTTTTAAGCTTCCTATAAACACTTATGATATTTCTGAGGATCCAGGACACCCTCCTGAAAACGTCATCTATGATGACATTATAGTAATATAATTATACTCTATAGTAATCAGATGAAATACCTTTTAATAGCACATATCATTATTTTCATCCAGTGGGTATCCAGTGGTCCTCACACTTCCCCTTCTGACTGCTGCAGTATCTTCATTGTTAAGTAAGCAGAGAGGGACTATCAAAAGGGTTCTCAGTGGCAATGCAGCTGACAGGATTCCCACCCCTTTCTCACGCCTGTCTTCCACATATCTAGGAAAGCCTATCGTTATTCAGCAAATGGACTTGTACTACGAAGGCTGTAGATGAACAGGTAAGTGCTTTCTTACTTTTCAGTCTATGAGTCAGCCAGGATTTTTATCAATTTAGGTTTAGATTGGGATGTTATATAAAGTCAAACAGGTGTAAGGTTGTAGGGGTGTGTGTGTGTGTGTGTATTTTTCTTCCCTACAAAGTCCGTGGCTCTTGTGGTCAAACTGTTAAGGAAGAGATGACGATGATGATGACGTGATGACATAAACGTATGAAAGGAATAATGACATAAACTTTCAACATGATGAGTTCAAATAATTACAACCCTGGAGGAAGATCCATAAAAGCAGAGCTCTACTTGACAAGGGAAAGCTGAATGCCTGAGAACCGAGCAGGGGAAGCAAATGAACTCTCCTTGGAGACTCCAGTTCCAAGGGGACTAAACACCCAGGAAGGGTCCAGGAACCAATACAAATGGGCTGAAACTGGTACAACAGACACTTTCTGTTGGGTGTTCTGTGAAGTAGGATGTTTGCTTACTCTTTCAGTCCACCACCTCAGGAGGAAGGCTGAGTGCTCAGGGCGCAGAGATCAGGAGTCAATGTCACTCACTTACTGAATAAGTGATCCCCTCCAGTCCTTTCGTAATAATAAACACCTGTCTTCTCACCTCCAAAAATCATAAATAAACGACTCTCCCCTGGTTTCTTTAAATCTATTTTTTTAAGATTAGAAAGGCAGTGACTAAATCTACTGTCCCATGAGTGGGCTAATGACTGTTTTGGTTTAATCTAACAGAAGAAACAGCGTAACAATAGTGACTTAGCTGGAGGAGGTCAAACTGCTCATTCATTTGATTTACAGGGTACCCAACCCCTTTATTTTTAGCTATTAGTTCTATTATGTCTATTTCATGGATACCTGCTATTACCACAAAACAAATAAAAGGAGGCACAAGTACAATTTACTTAAAGTGGTTTGTGGTTTCCAAAATAATTTCATACTCAGACTGTCCAGCAGCTAGGGAACCAGGAGGGAAACACGGCTTCCCATGAACAGAGTCAAAGTTGCTCGTCATTTCTCCAATTAAATGATTTTCTGATGGGTTCCTCGCCCGGAAAATCAGCGTGTACAACGCCGGAAATGCAGATGGCATCCAGCCTCGGGAACGCGTGTCCTAAACGGGGTGCAAACTAGGAGATGCTCCCTATTTTCTGTCTCGGCCATCCCAGGATGGAAATGCTCTCGCTGTGAAACAATGTTGCAAGGAAAAGGAAACCACCCCGGAGAGCTCGCAAAGTTCTCCAGACCCACCTTCCAGGGACTTTCTCCAAGAAGGAACCATCCACAGAGGGGGCGGCGGGGCTCGGCGACCCTCGGGCGCCGCTGCGCGCGGCCGGAGCCGCCGAGGCGGCCCCAGGTGAGCCCCGGCCCCGCGGGCGGCGGTGGCAGGGCGGGTCCCCGCGCGCGCAGCCCGCGCCTCCCCGGCTCGGCGACCCCGGCGCGGCCTCGGGGTGCGCCCCTCCCGAGGCCGGCGGGGTGCCGGGGAGTCGCCGCCGCCCCACCCTCCCGCGGGCAGGCGCCTCCCGCCCCGCCGCCCCCCGGGCCCCCCGACGCGACCGCGGAGACGCGGGTGGGCGCGCGGGAGCAGCGGCCGCCCCGCACCAGCCTGCGCCGCGGCACCTGGAGAGCGGGCGGCGGAGGCCGGCGAGGGGGCGGCTCTCGCCCCGCGACGCCGCCGAGCGGCTCCGAGTCGCCGGCGCCCGCGACGGGGCCTCGGCCTCGGCACCTGGGCAGCGGCGCGGGCGGCGCGCGGTCCCCGGCCCCGGCCCCGGGCGCGCGGACTCGGCGCCCGGCCCGGCCCGGCGGAGCCCGGCCCGCGGCGCGGGGAGGGGACGGACAAAGACACCCGCGCCCCACGCGCTGCCCCAGGTGCCGCCTCGCAGCGCGGGCCCCCCGTCCGCACCTGGCCAGGGTGGCTCCCCGCGCGCAGGGGCAGGAGACACCCCCAGGCGGCCGCCCCTCGGCCCGCGTGAATTTCACATTCGGTTTCCAGCAGACCAGCGCCCGCGCCCCGCGGGACCCCGCAGGACCCCGCGGGACCCCGCGCCCCGCCGGCGCCCGTGCGCGCGGCCTCTCGCGGCGGAGCCCGCCGGCGCCCGCTCTGCCCGCGGGGACCCGCCGAGGGCGCCCGGGCGGCAGGACCCGCGCCCGCCGCGGGCGCCGCTGGAGGACCGGGCGCCGCGCCGCGGGCCCCGCGGGGTCCAACTTCCCCGGGCGCGCGCGCTCCGCGCTCGCCGCGCCGCGCCCCGGGGGCCCGAGACCCCGGCCCGGCGCTCGCCCCCCGCCCCCCGGCCCCCGCCCCCTCCCTTCGCAGGCTCGGCCCGGCGCGAGCGGGCGCGTCGCTGTCAGCCCCCCGCCGCGGCCGCGCGCCCCCTTACCGGCGCCGGGGCGGGCAGCGCGGCGGGGCGCGGGCGGGTCGGGTCTAGCGGCGCGGCGCGGCGGCCATCCGCCCAACTTCAGCACCCGCGGGCAGGAGAGAGGAGCCGCGGCGGGGAGGGCGGGCGGGCGGGGAGGGAGGTGGGCGGGGAGCGCGCGGGCGCCCTCCAAGCGCGCATGCGCCCCGCGGCCCGGCGCAGCCCCTCGCGCGCCCCGCCGAGGTGCCGCCGCTCCCCGGGCGCGCGGCCGCCGAGCCCCGCCCCGCCCCCGGCCGCCCCCGCGCGCCCCGGCCGGGCCCCCGCGCGGAGGGGTCGGGGGCCGCGCGCTGGGCCCCGCGGCCGACGGGTCGGGGGGCGGCGGCGCCGGGCGCCCGCGGCGAGGGGCGCGGGGCCGCGGGGGGCCGCGGGGGCCGCGGGGCGGGTCCCTCCCCGCGCGCCCCCGGAGCCCGGGACCCAGCCGCCGGCCTCGGGCCGAGACGCCCCCGCGCCGCGCCGAGTCCGCGTGTGGCCCCCGCGCCATCCCCGCCCTGGGCGCGCGCTGCGGGCGGCGGCGGGTCCCCGGGGGGCGCGAGAGCGCGGCGAAGAGGGGTCCCCGGGGAGCAGTCCCTGGGGCCGGGGCTCAAGGAAGCGTGAAGTTTAGCAGAGAACCCCACTTTACCGAGGGACCCCACTTTATGAAGAGTTGCTGGCTTTACGGACACCGCGCCCCGAGATCTGACCCCTTCCCCGAAGACGCCTTCCCGGGGCGCTCTGGCCGGGGCCGGGGTCGGCGCTCGCGGGCCGGGGCCGGTTTCAGGGAGCGGGGCCGCGGCGCGGCGGGAGGGGCGGGCGCTCCGCGGGAGTGTAGCTGCGGGGGGCGGGGGGCTGGAGCCTCGGGGGGCCCCACCAAAGCCGCCAAGTCCGATAAGACTCCGATTCACCCGCAGAGCCCGGCGTGGCGGTGAAGGGGCTCGGGGCGCCTCGGGCGCGTCCTGGGCGATTAGATTGAAGTGTTTGGGGGGCGAATTAGGGGAGCGGGGGGTCTTGCTCTTCAGCTGTGCCATCTGCGGGAAGAGGAGCGAGTGCCTGCAGGAATGATGAAGCTTTTTTCCTTAGATCATTTTAAAACTGGTTCCCAGTAAATATGGATGACTGACTTGGGAATGCAAGTGATTTCCCTTTGCTTGTGCGCGCTCACTGCTGCGATGCCTTCCCCGGTCCCCTCTCCCGGCCTTGCAGGGCTCTCAGAGGACACCCCACACCGGGCCTGGCCTGAGCTGCTCCCTGGGCTGTAGTGAGCGAGGAGTGCAGACCTGGAGAGCAAAATTGGGGAACTTTCATAGCTGACACTGCCTTGGTACCCAAGCACATCAGTCCATTGGACTTTGCGCATTTTGTTTCGTGGAGTCATTCATTTTTGTTGGGTGTGGTTGGAGTCCACGTATCACGGGCTGAGAAGCACCCAATTCTACATGACGCCCACACTTCACATTTTCCATCACGGGGCTGTTGTATGTTCTCAGCCACCTTTGCATTTTCCCTTGACGAATAACTTTAATGGTGAATATTGATGGACGAGTTCTGGTCTGCCAGGTACTGATCTAAGCGCTTTGCATGCATTTTTAAAAGTTTTCTCTGCAAGGTAGATACTATTATTATATTGAACAGGCATCTCAGAAGAACTCCAGATAATCCACCCCCTCCAAACCTGTTCCTCTTCAAATGGTGCCACCCAGCCAAAAATGTAGAAGTCATTCTTGTTTTGTCTCTTTTTTTTTTTTTTTAACCCCACAATCCAATTAATTTGCAAGTCATGTTGTCTCCACCTCCAAAATGTATTTCCTGTTCATCCCTTTTCTGCTTCTTTGCTGTCAGTTGCGTCCAAGCTTCTGGCATCTCTCACCTAAATTACTACAAAAGCCTCCAGTTGGTCTCCGGAACCCAAAACAACACAACACTTTGTCCAAACAACAGCTGAGTGATCTTTTAAAAACATCCCCAGATCTTGTCATGCTCCTGTTTAAAACTCCCCAGTGAGTTTTCATTGCACTTTAAATACCTCATCACAGCCTAGAAGGATTTATGTAATTTTTTCCCAGTTTATCGCTCTTACTCTGCGCTCCCCTAGACCTTGGCTTTATGCGCTGTAGCCACATGGGCCTGTTGACTTTCTTACCTAAGTCTAGCCCCCAGGACCTGCTAGTTCTTCCTGCTATGCTCTTCCCCAGGTCAGTCCATAGCAGACTCCTCAACATCACACAAGCCTGTGCTCAGCTGCAGCTGTCCACACAGCCAGTTTCTAACCATCCGGTCCAATCTGCCCAGCTTTGGAGCCTCTTGCTTTATTTTCTTCCAAAGACTTTTCACTAACCGAATCAGCTTGCATTTGTTTACTGGCATGTTATCTCCTCATCCCCTTCTGGAATAAAGTATCTCAAGAGCGTTGCCTGGACTTCACGGTTTCATTTCCAGTGCCCACAACAAGAGTTGGCACCCAGGACATACCCAGCATTTAGTGACCGGATGCGTGATGGAATGAATGAGTAACACATCAGGAAAAGTATTCTTTATTTTTTTGGGTGCTGCTTTTTTTTTTTTAAGATTGATTTATTTATTAATACAAGAACCGGGGTGCAGGCCAGATGCGCGGGAGGGTGAGAGGATGCACCAGAGACAGAGTGGGGAACAGAACAGACAGACTGACGAAATACACTGCTGAGGGGAGCAGCGGGCGAGACAGGAGAGGTCTGACATGCCATGTGGGACCCTCGCTGGCTGGCTGGGATCGAACCGGCGCTGCAGAGGCTGCGGACAGCTTCACAGCACAGCACTCAACCGCCTGCGCCACCAGGGGAGGCCCTGAGTGCTGCTTCTTGAATCTTAATTGCTGCCTGGCAAAATCTGTTGTTTCTCACAAGCGCACAGATGGGCCCCATGGCTTTTTCTGCCCACCCTGTCAAAGGTGGCTCCATGCACTGGCACACACTTAAACTGCATGCCAGGGGCGTGTTCTGAGAAGCTTCCTTCAAACAAGCAGCGTGGATAAAGCAAAGAGTCTCACCAACACGGTCTTCCCTACATTGTCAATAACTGTTTGAGCAAGTTTTGCCTCATACCATCCTCACTCTTCTGCTCTAGTCAACGTAACCTTTTGGTGACTCTCATGGATGTAGTCTGTTGTGTAATCCTTTATGTGTTAGCCAGAAACTCCGTGAGATGGTCCTAGGAACTCTAGGAAGTGGACACGTTGCTGTGTCCTGAGAGTGGGACAGAGGGGTGGGGCTGCCCACAGCTTAGGTGACCTTCACCTCGCAGTGCCTGATCGCTTGCAGTCTCTGTGCATATCTGGTTCTAGGAAATATTGGCAGCGCCAGTGGCATCAAATGACTAGGCCCATAAATCAATTCAGTAAACTTTATTCAAGCCTGCTGTGGGGTTGGCATCGTCTTCAAGTTTTTTTTAAAAAAAAAAAAAAAACAAGGTAGATGTTATATAAAATTACTTATACTCAAAAATGGAGTTTAGTTCATGTTGGCCATGGGGATGCCTTTTCTTTATACAGAATTTCAGAGATCATGGGGCTTATCGTCGTTAAGCAGCTGTGTGATAACTACGAAACGCAGCATTTGATCACAAGCATTTCCATGCCATTGTGAATGTGATTTTCAAATAGAGAGAATCTGGGTACAGCAGCGATGTTGGTATTATGCCCTCAGAGTAAGGCAGACGGGGCATTGGCAGACAAGATCTATGCAGACTGAAGATATTGGAAAAGGAGACCGCATCAAAATATTTACAGTACATTTATTCTTAATTGGAGATATTTGTCACCATTAGGAGACTGGGAATCGACCTCAGTGAGTTTGCTGCTCTTGCCAGGTTATTTCAGGAAGACATCATGTCGTTTCTTTACATTTCATTCTCTTTCCCCACACGCTCATTTATTTAAAAGCAATTTTTTCACCTTTGGAAAGCAGAGGAAAAAGAAAGAAATTTGCTTTAATCTAGGAAACCCTACTGCTCCATCCAGGCAAACTTCTTCAGAGTAGGGCAGGGAAGGATAATTACAATATGACTGTTTTCTTAACTTTGAGTCAACAGAGCCTGCTGACTTTCCTCAACTGGTTTTAATCGTTTAAACCCCAGAGAGAGGCTCTTCTCAGTGAACTTATTTAGGTAGAAAATACTAGTGTTTCTTCATCAATATTTGAGGAGATGAGAGAAAAGAAAAAGAATCTTCCTCCAAAAATATAGAAAATGAGACAAAATTAGAGTCACATTTTATGTGTACTTTATGTTTTATAAATCACTACTTATTAATATCCCCTTAATAGTTTAACTTACCATCATTGAACTTAAGAGCCTCAATATTATTTTTTCAGAATAGCATTAGTGATTTTATATCTCAAGATAATTGAATAATGGTTATAGAGTTGTTTTTGAGCCACCCTAAGTACTTTATAAAAGCATTCATTAGACCCTGCATATTCACATTCTGCTTGGTTCAACAGATCTTTCATACAATGTTGAACAAAATCCCTTTTTCTCTGTGGAAAAATAACAAAACATGTATCTCACCTAGGGAACATGATGGGATTCAATTATTATAGTCAGAGTCTTTATGAATGGAGAAAAATCCCATCATTTAATGGTTCCTCTTTATCATCTGGAGATTTGGGAAGTTGCCTCCATGATGGTAGCTGGCTTGTGGAACAGGCTTCTGCTTTGTCAAACATCCCTCAGGGCTCAATGGAAAAGAGCGTGGAGAGAGGCCGAGTTTTGATTTCAGGATAGTTTCTCACATCTTTCCAGCGTCTTAGCTCAGAACAGGGCAAGTTCCGAGACGTGTGAAGTTAGCACAGATCTCTCTGTATATGTGTGTGGACAGGGAAAGTTTACTTCCGCTGTTGATTATCTGCAAGCGCCATGTGGCTAATTTTTGAGTTCCGTGTTGAAATATACTTGGGTGGCCAATCAGAAGATTTATACCCGTATTGCAGAAGATTTGTTGAAGGCTCCCTAGTTTCTCGATTTTCTCTGAACTAGTTTT